CAGTTCCTCTAGCGCCTCGATCGGTCTTCTGTGTGTATTGCCAACCAAGCTCGCTTGTTGCATTGACAGATACAGGCCTTGCAAGACCGGGGTGAATATCTTATTGAACGTGCTTGAATTCGTGTGTGTCTTAGCTACGAGCTCGTGAAGGTAGCCTCGAGGTAAACTTTGCGACAGTATCGGGTAAAGGAGATAAGTGGTACACATAGGAATAACTGAAGCTTCACAAATGCCAACCAATCCTTGTAGAACAAGGCTGGAGTACTGAACACATTGCGTTTTCAATACCGTCAGTACATTGGAAAGAGGAGGTATGCTGGATCGCTAAAACATATGCCCAAGTCAGTCAAAGAAATCAATAGGTTTAATAAAATCTCATCTGGTTTTTAAAATATGTATACTTATACCTTTGGATGATTTCTTTCCTCTATTGCGATTCTTGAATAGCAGTTTAACAAGTAAGTTAAACTTTTGGGTTGCGACGATTTGCTGCCTATGGGTAATGGCATAGTCGGTAATTGGTAAGACGGAAGAGCCATGACAGGACTTAGCAAAGGACTCGCTTGGTTATTCGGACTATCTTGTCGATCGGACGACATATCTACCGTGATATCGGTTAAAAGATCTTCCCTTTTCGAGAACATACACAAAATCTCCATCAAGGCCTGGTTGATGATTTCATTAAAATCTAGCTGTTTCTGTTTCAGCGTGTACGCTGCTGTTTGTGGTAAGAATATAGTTCCTTCAACGGAGCTTTTCCACGATATGCGCAAGACGCGTGATATAACAACATGTATGTGATCTGTTGTAACTTCTATGCTAGAGCTCGTCGTCTAAAATGCAACAGAGATAAATATAGATAAAAATAATGAATAGTCCATTTTCATTATATTAGAAGAAAAAAAAAACAGATTCTTTTTGTTGTTTATTAATACACGCACGTTTGTTCTATTTCTTTTTCTTTTTTTTTTTATTATGTAAAGATACTTACACGCGATCGTGGTATTGAATCTTTCCTATCTGATTCGTCAACTTCCATGCTTTCAATTCCTGAATTATCCATTTCGGTAATATTACATTGTTTATCGTTGCTCTCTTCTACTTCCATTGGTATCTCAGCACGCTGTAATTGTTGAATAGACGGAGACATTGATCCTGGGAATGCTTTTGATAGCTCCGAAGTACTCGGGGAAGTCGGAGCAATAGCATTAGACGAACTGGCAGTTGCATTATTATTGTTGAAGCCCTCTAATCGGGCTAATCGCCTTCTTCTCATCTGCAGCAAAAGTAAGACAAAGGAGTTGTGTTGTGAGCTTTCTTTAGTGAGGACTACTCTGTCAAAGGTTACTTAAAACAGACTGAAATGTTTTTGTTACTCATAAGCTATTTTTATTCACTGGTTTACCATACCTCGCGACAATAAAGAGAACAGAAGCTACAAAGTCCACATTATATTTTAAGCGACATATAATAATACAGAAATGTCATTTCTTCGATACTATACTCTGTAAACCTCTTCAACGAGAGGTTTAGCATTCTTTGCGCATAGGAGGCAGCATAGCAAACAAAGTAGAGATGTAGCCTGTATAGATACCTACTACATAGATACATGCATAGATACGGCATACTCGGGCTTGGGTTTAGAAAATTGAGCGGGTAAAATAATCTTAAAATCCATAATTTGTCTTCTATGCGCAAAGAGTGATAAATCTCTTGTTGAGCAGAGTATATATTATTATTATTCCGAGATATGAGTCTCAAAGAATGAAATGGAAAGTCATGTATTTGTTAAGAAAAATCACAACTTCATTGCTTGTATAAATTTCTGCAGCCATAATATCTTGCTAGAAACAAAGCAGACGAAGCAGTTAGCAGTTAAGTGGACGAAAGGAAATAACAAGGAACAGAGGATAAGTGGATAAGGAAACAAACAGAACTCTATCGCGATTATGAAAATAGAGGAATCATCAAATAGTAAACAATTGTTCCCACAAAGCGTTTGGAATGTTTGGATCATTTAAATATTAGAATAACCACGTTGACAGATGCCGCGCCAAGTTTTCTTTAAATTAAAACGCAAGATTGATTTGCATAGCGTCCATTATATAAGTAAGTAGTTTCTTTGCAAGCGTGTGAGTCGCTTCGTTTTACGCGTGGGGGATTGACAAAGAAAACAATATATAATCGAACAAGGAAAAATGCAATTTCCAAGTCTTCCTCGAAATCGCGCGTGCAAACAATGGACTTGTCCTTCATGGGACTCGTCTCAAAATTGAAGAAAAAATACATATAAATTCATGATTTTTTGAGGGAAGGGAGACGTGGATGGAAAAGATAAGAAAAGATCTCCGATGAGAGAAAAGTGTCGTACATCAGCGAACACGAGAGCGTGGGTCTCGCTTGACAAGAAATCGCGAATAAGTATGCGCGGGAAATACATACACACACACACACACACACACACACAACGCGGAGCAGAGGAAATATTGGGCGAAAGAAAGGATCACTGGGTGAGGAGAAAGATAGGCGACGCGATGCGATGCGACGAGGGGAAAGGAGAGGAGAGGAGAGGAGAGGAGAGGAGAGGAGAAGAGAGGGAGCACACACTTTCCTTTACTCACTTCTTCCTGGCTGAGCTCGCTCATGGCGATCGCTCTTTATCCCTTCGATCTCGATATCCCGCCCGCTCTGTAATCTGTAATTTCTCGTCCGGTCCGGATCCGGAACTGGCTCGGATGATGGTGGTGATCTACACTACTACGGCGGCCACGCGCCTCTTCCTCGCTGTCGCGTTCAGCGTTCGCGCAAAGGGAAGTAGGTATCGTGCTCGACGCGACGACGATACTCGTGGCCACTCGTGGCCGAGATACGTCAATGTCAGAGATCTGGACAGTCACTCCACATCTGTTTGCGTTTGGACGTGGATACAGTGCTCTCGCGTCAAGTCTCGAGTCACGGCCACGGGTCGGTCTGAGTCAGTCTGTTGTAAACAGGCCCGCCGTCCGAGGTCTTGAGTTTTGAGGTCTAAGTCGATCTGACCTGACAATGAGTCGGTCGGGACTGATGGGACCGATGGGACGGGCTGATGGACGCCGCTGACGGCTGACGGCTGATGGTTGACGGCTGACGGCTGACAACGAGTCGGGTCGCGTCGGGTCGGATCGGATCGGTCGCTTCGCTCTGGCTTTGCCGTGATGGTGTTTGCGGTGTCTACGGTCTGCGTGATGCGTCGTCTCTCTCTCGACAGTTTCGACGTCTCGTTGAAAACAGCTGAGCAAGCAACGCGTCGACACGCTGTGACACGCGCTCTCTACTTCCTTCCGTCCTTCTCACTTCTCTCCTTCGCCGTTCGCTTCGCGCTCTCTCATCTCTCCCTCCACGCTCCAGCCCTCCTCCTTCTTCTCCTTCTCCTTCTCCTTCTCTTTCTCTCTGTCGCATCTATCGGGTGAGTGGGAGTGGGAGTATACTCTAAGCCCATTTTAGACGATCTATAATTCAGGACAAGGATCGAATAATTTGACGTGTAACAAGCCTACCTTATGTGCGAGAGATATAAATCCATTTTCGACGACCTACATCTCCCTACGGAGTCCGCCACTCAATTCGGCAGAGATGCAGATATTATATAGGTCAGCGCGATGAGCGCGAAATTCGTCTTATTTCATTTATAATTTAATTGTGAGAAACATTCAAGTCGAAATCTATGTATAATTCAACATTGTAATGCATAATAAATCTGTGATAATAAATTTTCTTTATTACACGTTATTAAATACGATATTTGATAAAAATTTCCAACACTTATTGGTGCGTTTGTTACCTCTTTTTCTTCGTCGACAACGGCGAACTGAATGTTCCCGCGCGCACATCGATAGATCTCCTTCGATTATCGACTCGCTCATCTCTATTTTTAAATGCGCGACTGTGACAGTATCAAGTATCAAGTATCAAGAATCAAGAGAAACGCAATTAATAAATGATATTTAAACGTGACATTTATCAATATTATCGAATATTATGTCGATAAATACGAAACATAATATCAATATCAAAAGTGAGTAAAATTATAATTTGCCATTAAGAATTAACTACACAGGTGTCATTTTTTCCTGGTACTCTTGCGCTGTAATTCACGTTACATTTTTCTGACAAACGTCTGAATTAATTTACACGCACATCGAAAGCACATTAGCTAAATATTTTTTCCTTTCCTTCTTTTTTCTCCACGTTGAAGAAAACGAAAAAAAAGAGACAATATTAACTGTACAAGAAGTTTAGCTGAGAAAAAAAATAGGCCCTTTGTGTAACTTTACTGTAAACTTTCTTCAAAGGAGAACAGGATCGAGCTTTTCCCATGTTAATTGTTCCCCATAAGCGTGGTCTAAATTTATTTCAATTGTTAGAGCATCGACAGTCCTGTGTATACATAATACATATATACATACAATGTTCTAGCTGCGATATCCGTTTATATAAATCGCGTTACCAACCCGTAGTAAACGAGAATGGATTAAAATTGATAGAAATTTTATTTATCCGAATACGTGTGTTAAATAAAAGTGAACACTTTTTTTGGATTCAATTGGAGATTCAATTAGATTCAATTGAATTGAAAAACTGCATTTTTTCCTATTTCTATTCAGAATTCCGAATTGAGCAGTATTCATGATGCACAGAAAAAGCCTGATATTTCGAATGTGAATTTCCGAAAAAAAATCTGAATCCTGCATTTAAATTCATTCTCAATTACGAGGAATTAAGTACACTGGATTGATCGCAACTGTTTCATCTTTTTAGCTTCACACAGCTCATCCTTTCCTTTTTCCAAAGTGAATTAAGAAAAAAGAAAGAAAGAAAGAAAGATGAGCTAACTGTGCAACAAGTCGAGTGCACTAAGAAGGACACAGATCTCACAGGATTTGAAAGCTAGCGTTCGTACTGCGAACCGAACTGCGGCGAGAGGTGGAATGAGGTGAGATGAGGTGAGGTGAGGTGAGGTGAGGTGAGGTGAGATGAGGTAAGGTTAGGTTAGATGGGACAGTTGAGCGCTGCTGAATCAGCAGCTGAACGAGTAAACGCAATAAACGCATGTCGCCGACGTCGCCGTTCGCCGGCGGCTGCGAGTGACTGCGAGTGACTGCGAGGCTGTTTGTCTGATCATCACCGCAGTCGTCCAACTAACAAGTTGTCGAACGGTTGTCGAAGACGTAGGAGTGAAAAAAAAAAACCATCAGTCTCCTTCGCTCTTACACGTCTTCGTTCGCCACAATCTTCGACATTGCGTCTTCCGCAGCAACCTTCATAATTAACTCGTTCTGGAACGGCACCTTGGCGAAATGGGCATCTGGGAAATAATCGATTTCGCATCGCTTGGTAAAGACTCGCTTTCGCAATAAAGTACGCAAAAGTGCGTTTCCCCAAAAGTCTGTTGTCTCACGCGATACCGATTCTCGCTTTCTGTTGCTCCCCATATGTTTTTTCATCACGTATGCTCGCGCTCCAAAGACAATTGTAAAAAGATTATATTCTAATTCACTGCGAACACCGAAAATCTATATATAATAATAAGCTTGTATTACGTGCACTATAGACTTTTTAGCATCGGCCGCGGCTGAGCGAATTTCGAATTAACACACAGCTCAAAAACTATGTCCCATACAGAATCGAATGTGATTAATATTGCTATAATTTATGTAATTTATGCAACAATTTCCTGTTTCCATTGTTCGCGCACATACATGTAAATCACATCGAAGAAGAAGACATAAAAAATCAGGCATTTCGACATTTTATATGTGTACCTATATTAAGAATGTATATTCCTGCAATAGTAATCGAACGCATCAAGTTGTAAAGTGTAAAGATATTAATGAGATTTACAAGTTTAAAAATTTTAAAAATTGAAAAGACATTGCAAAATTAAACAGCTTAAAAATATTTTATTTCTTAAATTAATTAAACATCTTATAGCTTATTATCTCATAATATTGTGTTTTCGCTACAGTCTATAAATCGTTGGCTTTAATAAATATCGAAAAATCATTCGGGATAGTCCCTGGGAGATAAGTGGTGGATAATCAGTTTGTGATGTTAGTTTGATAATAAAAGTCCCCTGATAACGAGACTTTGCACCGTGTACTCTCAAACTGTCAAAGAAACAAGTTTACAATTTATGGTCATTTATACCCCGTTATATTATCTAATTAATAATTACACATATTTCTTATTTCATACATGTCGTAAATATTAAAACTCTGTCTCACGTTCAAATATTAACGAGAATATCGTTATAAAGATACACACTTTTTCTTCACAGAAAGTCATATCACCGACAATTATTTATGTAATCAAACCTATTACAGTTCAATTCGAGTTATGGGGTCATAAATATTCGTAATAGAATGCATTTTCAACTAAATAATTTTCAAATTGAAGACACAATGAATCGTTTAAATAGGCCATGTATTTTTTCTTATATTTAATTGAAACTGTTAAAAAAATTTTTCTTATTTGTTTAAAATTTTTTTCAGAATGCACGCGAAACGTTAGTTTTCTCGATATCGTATTAAACTCTGCGAGATTTCGCGCGCAACAGTGGCGACCAATCAAATCGAACGAGACGCGTAGCGCGGGATAATTAATTGTAATTGCAGTGATGGCTGAAATTATATTATTTGAGTAAAATTTTAAAACCTTTTCGAAGAATAGGTGTAACAAAATTAATTGAAAAAATTAAAAACTGTTTTTTATATATGTGTGTGTGTGTGTGTGTGTGTGTGTGTGTGTGTGTGTGTGTGTGTGTGTGTGTGTGTGTGATTACATATTGTTTTGATTTATTTCGTGGTATGTAAATATTACATATAAAGTATTCCAAAATTGATGATAAATATTTTGCAGATAGATTCTTTGTAATATTTTAAAACGAAAAGTCTAATACGGAAATGTGGAGGCTATGACTATAATAGTTTTCAAATAGGAATAGTTAAAAAATTATGAAACGGGGCTAGAATTTTGTGCGCTCAGAATTGGCAAGATGGTCAATGGATGTGAAAATGTTGAATTTTGTTATTGTCAAAGACATGAAGTTCGAGAAAGTATCTTCACGTTGAGCATTTTGCCATTCTTGGGCATGCAAAATTCTAGCCCCGTTACTCGTAATTTTTAAACTTTTCCTATTTAAAAACAAAAAACCTATTACAGCCTCGACATTTTTATAATAGACTTTTCATCTTAAAATATTACAAAGAATCTATCTACAAAATATTTATCATTAGTTTTGGAACACGCTATGTATAATTTATATATATAAATTATATATAGGGTGTCTCATTTTTAAGGATACACTTAAATATCTCAGAAATCCTGTGTTAAATCGAGAAATATTTCAGATAAAAGTTTTTTGCTTCGAGTAAGATATAATACCATTGATTTAACCTTGGGTGACGTTGTTGAGGTCAGCGTAAGATAACTTTGAATAAATTATTTTGTCATTAAGTACTTTTTGAATTATAAAGCTTGAAAATTTCAGTACCTTTGGCATTAGCATTATCCAAAGTACGTATACGTAAAAATGAATTTTTAGTGCAAAAATGAAAAAAGATACAATCTCCAATAGCCTTGAACTTGAAATGTTATCCAAGTCATGATTCTGAACAACATTTAAGAGGTTTCATCGGACGCACACCTTAGGTAATGCTCTCTAATGCCGACGATACTGTAACTTTCAAGCCTTATAACTCGAAAAAAAAATATTTAATGAGAAAATAGTTTATTACACTGTTCTGAAAAGCTCTTGAGGTAAGCTATAAGAATATGTGAAATGAAAAATCGGGGTTCTATTTAAAAAATTCAAAGTGACCTTGCTCTGACCTCGACGCCAACCTAAGGTCAAACCAATGGTACCATCTTATGTCATCCTTGAAGTAAAAAAAACTTTCGTTTGAAACATTTTTCGATTTAACACAGTGTTTCAGAAATATTTGAGTGAATCCTTTAAAATGGAACATCCTGCGTGTGTGTGTGTGTGTGTGTGTGTGTGTATGTGTGCGCGTACGCATATCATGTATCATAGATAATGTGTAAGTATGATATATGATAAACAATTAAATAACAAATTGATAAACACATATCTAAATTACATATATACGTTACAAAGTTACATTTTATGTGCTTGGAAATGTTTATAATTGAGTTATTTTTAATTATACGTTTATATACAATTCCCTACTTCATATCATTCACACCTACCACTAAGAATCATCCACAGATTTCTTACAATAACCGATGTCGGCTGATGGATGTACCGTTTTGCAGACGGAGAAATTCAGGAGCTAATAAAGGAGAGCGCGGCGGTGCGTGAGAATGCATACTCGCCATACAGTAAGTTCAAGGTCGGCGCCGCGGTACGATGCGTCGACGGTAGCATCTCACGGGGCTGTAACGTGGAGAATGCGTCCTATCCGGCGGGCGTGTGCGCCGAGGTCACGGCAATCGTGCGGGCTGTGTCGGAGGGGAAGCGAAAGTTCACAGCGTTGGCCGTGGTCGCCGATCAGGAAAACACTTCGTTTACCACACCATGCGGAGTGTGCAGGCAATTCATGTCCGAGTTTGGCGAAAACATGCTCATCTACTTGACGAGATCCGATATGAAGAAAGTTCTACGGACTAAGGTGAACGAACTGTTGCCGCTCTCACCTTTCCGCACAAATGATACGGAGACTTCATAATTTATCCTCGTTGTTGAAGGCGATGTTCAAACAACACGGAAGCTACAACGGAAGGTGTTGAATTTTTCTATGTATGTATTTATCCAGAACTGAACATTTGTAAATCTTGTTACATACATATGATTCAGCATATCAACATGAGACTTTATTCAATGAAATTAAGATCGACGATGCACAAATATTATTTTACAATGACGTGATATATATATATATATATATATATGATACTATCATAACATTTTGAACATGATTAATAATTTCATAGAAGTTATAAATACAAAAGCAGGCGATTGTACACTTACGAAAATTCATCTTTAATGAGTAAAGTCCTCATCATTTACCAAAACGGACACCTGTAATGATATGCAACAATGAGATCAATGTTCATATTTTTTTAATATAATTTATATACAATCGTTTCTTGTAATATCAAAATAAATATTAAGCAAGTTGTTGATATATCTATATATATAATATGAAAAAAGATAGATTGTAAATGATAAAAATAAATATGTGCCCGAAATTTTCTAGTTATAAATTATTACGTACCATCCAATATAACATTGGCAAAGATTTTCGTTATTTGTAGCTTGCTGGATCAACAGATCGACTTGTTGTCGCACACTGAGAGTTTCTTCATGCGAAAAGTCACGCCCTGTTAATTTATCTCTGACTCTCGTTATGATCGTCAAGGCTTTCTTGTTCAATGCTTCTGGTTGATTATTATCAGCTGCGGACATTGCAAAAGTGCAGGCTGTAGATGTCACGATAATAAAGTTAAGTGATTTTTTGTGTATAAATTATTTTTTGTTGACTTTAAGTTTTTTAAATTTTTTATTACGCTTGATCAATTTTTATTAATATCTTATATGTAACACACACACGCGCGCGCGCATGTGTACAAAATTATATATAAAAACAATTAATTTACAAGCAAGGTGATGATGTCAAGTTGAAATGACTTAAAAACGCAATTACCTCCATTTTCAATGCTACACGGTACACCCTTCTTTGGTAATGTGGCGGTAAGAGAATCGAGCATATCGCCGTGTTCCTGACTGCTGCTGGCACTCATGCCTTGAGCGTCTGATCGTTTGCCCTTGGGCACGGTATTGTCCATCAATCTCCAATTCAGGAGAGGGTCATAAACGAATGCCTCTAGAACCGCCATTAGGCTATCCTTGTTTCGATGTAGCACGGACATCACGGACTCGCAAGTCCTTCTATACGTTCCCTCTATTCCGGTCACCTCCATCGCATTGATCAGCATTCGCGTCAAACGGAACGGTATCTTCTCCGGGAACTTCTCGCGTGTCATCGCTACTTCGAAGCAATCTCCGAAGTCGATGTGCAATATCTTACCACTGAGACGGTCGAGCATCAAGTTAGACGGATGACGATCACCTAGACCGAGTATATATCCCACCATAGACATCACAGCCAGAGAGCGCGTATAGTTCGTCCTACGATCAAACCATACTTCGCTCGACGGTGACTTCAGCCACAAAAGTCGCGCTAGGTCGTCGCCGTGGGTATGTTCGAGTGCGTGCTCGAACACTTCAACTTTTTGCATGAGTATGAGATGATCATAGTCAGGTGCCATCTAAAGAAAAAAGAAAAAAAAAACATAAAATAATATTATAAGAAGGCAATGTACGCCTTCAAGAGCGATCAACTCGTAAGCCGAACGGTGAGCCGGGCTGATACGAGGTGAATAACCCATTTTGGAAATCTACATCGTATTAATTTAAATATATAAGAAAACAGAAAATTTACATTCTCATATATCTTACAATGTATACTAGACAAATTTAATATAAAAATGTTTAAAGCGCCTCACTCGTAACATTATCCTGTGCTCGATATTCAATAATATTTTCTTCTTCTCTCTGAAGTCTCTAATAAGCGTATGAAGCGTATCGCAATGCGGTACCCAACCGATAAGACCACTGTTTGTGGATAATGGAATCACAGCGTATCTCTAAACATAAAGTCACAATATTATTCATATATTTCTTTAATAATTATATTATTATAAACATGTAAAATGCTGAAACTCTCTTACTTGAATAGTAAGGTTTCTTCGGAAGGTATCCGGATCATGTAACAATAGAGTGTTCACTAAACCAAATAACTGCATTACCCTTTCATCTTGTCTCAGATCCTCATGACCTTTCAATAGAAACATATAATCCCTACCGTTACTACCTGAAAAAATACATAGATATTAAAACAAATCAATACTATCAGCATGTTTTTTGATATATAAAATATCGATATGAAATATTTGAATCTAATTTACTTTTAAAAAATAACTGACCTTTAATGCACAACTTTCTCGGTCTCTGTTTGCTAGTAATCACCTGCATAGAGCTATGAATGCTTGCTATTCTCACGATAGGTTGGCCAGGGCTATAGCTTCCCGGAACAGCCAATTCCAAATCTCTGCAAATGAGCAATTTCGGACTGACATATTGTAATTCCAAACTGGTCAATTGTGGCAATTGTCGGGATATCCTCCGGAATACGTGATAATACAAATCCCAAGCTTGATTCAAATCTCTCACGTTCCGAGATGCTTTATATCTGTTACACCATTCCTGTGCTTCTGACAAGTCCCTTCCGTAAGCTTGATTGAAGGATGTCTCTTTTAAAGTTTGCGGTCCTCTCTCGAGCATGGCGTGTAAAGGCTCTAGAGTGTCAAACATGCCTCTAACGTTCCTCTCCCCAAAATATAATCTACTAGCCTCTTCTAAGCCCTCGTGCCACAGTTCGTGCCATAAAATCGCAACTCTGATCAGCTCATCGCTCGCCATTATAGCCTGCTGGACTAATGTCGGACTGTGCTCACACATGCTCTTCAGGATTTTGTTAGCTGCGGTCTTCCTCGCATGGCTAGCACTCTTTGAAGCCACTGTCAACGGATAAACTAAAGCCTGAGGGTGCGTTTTTCCTATATCTATGAGAAGATGATGTATGCACCGACCGACCAACGCTCTAGGAGTGTCGATTCTGGCTATGAGTTGTGGAATCACTTGCAGCCAAGTATTTATCTCTATTAATCTTATGCCCTCGACCACAGCGTCATACACCTCTGGCCACTGACCATAATCGAACCAGAGTGTAAGCAGGCGGAGAGTGTCTTGTAGGGAGTTACCATCCGACAAGTTGATGGATCTGAAAAATCCCTCCACAGCTGGGACAGTAAATTGAGATATATATTGTGAGCTGGAGAGATTATTGCGCGCTCCGTTGCCTGATGCAGCCTCCGTAGGAGCAGAATCACTACCTTGTTGATGCTTGTAAAACAAAACGGTCTCGTAATTGGTGTAAGCGAAGGCATGCCAAGCTTTATACCATGTGGGATCATGCTCCGTCGCTGCGGCATAATAAGATAATACCGCGGGAATAGAATGTTCGTTTATACCCTGCAAGGACTCCAGCCACTCGCCGAGCTTAAGGTAACACCTGGCGAGCAATCTCTTTTTGCTTTCATACTGCTTCTCGTCCTCTTGATTAATTATCGCCGCTGTTGTCGGCTGCAAGTAGGTCTGCACAAATCGCTGCAGCTGATTGTAAGCCTCCTCGCGTTTATTTGCAACCCACAAGTGCTTGCAATAAGCGAAGGTCACCTGGGGATGAGTGGTCGGCAGCGGCTGATCTGGAGTCAGGGATGGATCTGTGCCCATCAGCATTACCAACGTTTTGTGACATAGCATCAAACTACCGCTCTTCCGGCAGAGACTGGCATATTTAAGCCATGTGTACATGTCGTCATGCGGTGAGACTACCAGCGTGTGTACCTGTATGATCTTCTGCCAGTCTTCTACTATCTTTTGTCCACCTTGAAGCCTCTCCCACCACATGGCCTTGATGGCCGCTCTACGTTCGGGCACCAGCTTAAACTGGATCACTTCTTCTAACTCGGCCAATTTCTGCACTTCCACCATGGCGTTGTACGCCCGTTGATAGCTCTCACCAGCCATGGCAGTTAGTTCAGTGTCTAACAGATCCCTGGCACTATCGATAAACTGATGCGCGACGTTGTACTGTTCATCGTGGATCGCCAGTACCGCTCTGTAAAACGCTCCGTCTTGAGTATCCTTCGGTATCAACGAAACGTACTTCTGCATACTTTCCCATTGGCCCAAACCCCACGCTGCAGCTGCCGCCATTCTCGACATTCTTTGCTTGGTATCGTCGGTCTGATTTATCCATTGTTTTGTAGCAACCTCATGCAATTGTCCCCATTCTCCGAGAGCCTCCAGACAACGCATCTCTCCCAAAGTAGACTCCACATCTGCGGAATCGCTCTCCAGACGTTCCTGATACAGCTGCAACGCTTTATCCCAGTTGTGAAGCTTCTCGTACCAACGTATCTGGACCTTGAGATCTTGCTGGTTGTGATTCATCACATATTCCAACAGACCTTCGGCCGCTTCTTTCTGTTGAAGTTTGTTATTAATGGAAATCAGGGACTCGAACACGCTGCTGTTCCTGCTCTTGTGAAACTCGTCCTCCTTGTAGTGCAACGCCTTGGCATACGCACGACAATGCATCGCCGTATCCCCGAGAATCTTATTGTCTAATGGCAGAGGACCCTTGTCGATGTGTTCCATAAATTCAGCCAAGTTCAGAATGGTCTGCGTCACTTCGGTAGGCAGATCGGGGACCATCAACGCTTGATGCAGAGTCTGTATCAGTTCCGTCCGGTAGTTCTCGGCTAGTTCGGTCCAGCACGAGACGAAAGCTGCGTTGAACAGATCGCGCGGTAACACAGCGTAGGTTTGCGCTAGCGCCCAGCAAGATCTCAGAGCCGGAGAGGGGGATTCTTTGAGGAGACCGATGGAGAAGCATCGCAGCCATTCGAGCCAATCGTCCTTGGATACCCGTCGCGTTGCTGTCCATGCTTTCTGCAAATTCGAAGCCGATACGTTCAGTTTCTTAATCGTTTCCGAAGGCGTTAAGGAGAACTCGCGATTCTTATTGCGCGAGTGACGCATTCTCA